CCCCCTAATCTACGTCTTTCTAGGAGAGTGCAGATTCAGGCCCTTAGTCCTTCCTCATAGGGAAAGGTTTCTGAGACATGGGATCAACTTTGTCATTCCTCCTTTGTACATTTTCCAAGCATTTATATCCATTATCTGTAATACGGTGACCAAAACTGTGCAGCTTAATCTAAAGGAGGCCTAACCAAGGATGTATAGAGGTGAAGAACAACCTGAGACTCCTTTATTTTATGCTTCTGATATGAAGCCTAGATTCTATTAAGCTTTTATTGCGAACCCTTATGCACTGTTGTCTTGTTTCAGATTACTGCTAACCAGAACTCCTAAAATCTGTTTTCGCAATCCGAAAGATTAAGATCTACTTTATTTAGTTTTATATGTGGCATGGTTTTTATTGTCCTGTCCAACATTTAAACTTTGCATTTGCCATATAAACTGCAGTCTGGCCACCTCTCCGACCACTGCATCAGTCTATTCAAATCTGCCTGGGAGTGCTCTAAAGGCTCATCAGAATAATGGACGGCCTATTTTGTGTCACCCTGCAAACTTTGGCTGGATGTCGCGCTTTTAATGCCCTCATCTATGGTCGTTTGATTATATTGTGAACAGCAGGGGGCCCAACACTGATCCCGTGGAACCCGCTCGTGACGCTTCCCCACTCTGATTGCTCCCCATTTATGCAACTCTCTGCTGCCTATTTGTCCAACCATCCAGCTACCAGGAAAAAATTTCTCCTCCTATTCCTTGGCCTTAATTTTCCTCAATAGTCCCTGATGTTGGACCTTGTCAAAAGCTTCTTACTGAAGTCCATAACACATATCATATCCATTACCATATCAACCTCCCAAATACCTTAGTGAAAAAAGAGTTAATAAATTCGATAGGCAGGAAACGCCCCTTTGTAAAACCAGGCTGAGATTCGTTTGATTATTTAAGGCTTTTCAGGTGGCTACGAACTGCCCTCGCAATATGCTTCCATAAATTTCCCACTATGGAGTAGGCTTATTGTCTATAGTTCGAAGCTAAGGAACTGTCACCTGCTTTGAAAATAGTATCACTTTTGCCATTTTCCACTTATCTGCACCATGCCAGGTTGGTAGTGATATGTTGAAAGATTAGCCAAAGGTTTTGCTAAGCCCCTCTTTCATTCCTTTAGAACCCTTGCATACAGTTCATCAGGCCTGGGATTTTTAGTTTTAATTTATCTATTTGCCTAAGGACCATGTCACTTGTGAATCTATCGTGCACAGTTGATTTATCGCCTTGCTACATAATTTATCATTTCGGAATATCGCTGGTATCTCTCCTGTGTTAAAACTGAGAGGAAGTATGTGGTAAAACTTCTACACAATTCCTTAATCACTGTCAGTGAGCTGACCCGAGGAACTTTTGAGTGGGCCTATCTTGTCCCTGATCTTACTTCAGTATACCTGAAAGAATCCTTTGGGTTAGTCTTCGTATCCTCTTGCAACTTTAACCAACCGCATAATCTCTTTTTGCTTATTCTAATTCCCTTTTTTATTCTCTCTTTATCTGAATATATGATTTCTTATTCCCCACCCCTCTTTTGTTGGCCTAAAATATGCCTCTCTTTTGGGGACCAATTAAGGATAATTTAATCTATTGTTTCATCCATTAGGAGCATTTTGTTTGACTGATTTCCCTATTTGGAACATAAGTTGACTGAGCAGCTAGAACTATGCCCCTGGAAAAGCGTATATCGCAACCATCACATCTACCTGACCCTGAGTCAGTCATTCCAGTTTCAGGCCCACTAAAGTAATTTTTTCAGATCCTATGAAATCAGCAAGCGGAAGTCAGGGACAGAACTTTGAATTGCCATTAATTAGGGAATTCCATGATATATTACAACTGAGTGATGTGTGATCACTTTCCCCCACGCTCAACATTAACCTCAAGATTATTATTAGTGTTTGCCCTACTGGCAAGAACCAAGTCAAGGTGGGGATTTCCCCTATTGGGGCTCTGTGCACAAACTTTTTGTAAAAAACAATCCTGGATTCGTATCAAGAAAGTCACCGACTCTAAATTTCCTGTCAAATTGCTCCATCAATCTGTCTATAGTTTGAAATCTCCCATTAGCACACATTTTCTATGTAATGCCTTAACGAATTTCGTCCGCATAGAAGTGTACGGCACTCCCATCAAGCTTTGGGGCCCTGTAAATCAATCACTCCAAGAATTAGTTTTTCCCTTCAGGCCCTCGCGAAGCTGTATCCAAACAGATTCCGTGGCTTGACGCTTCCTAATTAATAATCTTGTCTAACACAACAATTAAAAATTGGCTCTGACATACATCGCTACCCACCACCTTTTTTCCTTTGACCCTGTCAGGTGGAATAATTTATAGCTTGTATGGGAACATCAGAGGGCTTCTCTATCTTTCCAGATTGTGCCAGGTCTCTGTTATAGCAATAATATTCTATGTTCCCCTGCACTGTGCAAGTTGAAGCTTCCATCATCTATCTTTTTTCTTACACGCCTGCTATTAGTATAGGTAAACCTTAAGGAGCTTGTCCCTTGCTCTGCCCTCTGCTGTCCCCCTTTGTTTGCTGACCTGACTATTGTTTTATTTAGAACTTCATCTGAATGCCTTTTTATATACATTTACTGTTTCCAACCGATGTTGCTACCTGCTTGTTTTCCCACACACTCCCATAGGGGAGTACCTCTATCCTTCCACCAGTCCACAACATAGGCATTTCACCAATGGCCTTCTCAATCAGTCTGCAAGTGCTACCCCACCCCCGCCCCAAGAGATGTACCCCATACCTTGCATACCATATCATGTTTGCCATAAAAAGCTGTCCAGTTGTCAATGAAGGATGGCAAGTTCCTTACAGAACTGTCTAGCCAGCAATTTTACCCCAATTGCCCTAACAACCATTCCACATCCTACGTCCCCTTCTAGGCAAGATGCTACAAATGCTTGGGATCCCCTCCCTAGACTTAATGAAAATCTATAGCTTTACCTGTACTTAGCTAGCAGAGCGCTTCTCTCCTAACCCTTCCCCATATCATTTCCACCAGCACTGAGACAGATAATGGGCTTGTTCCCATGACCTGACAGGGATATTAGCCAGCCTGTTTGACAATGTCCCCAACCCAGCTCCAGGGAAGCAACCTCTATCTCTCATTCTTCTTATTTCCTAATTACAAAACAACGGTCCAATATATCTTACCTGAAGTCACCAACCACAAGAATGCGCTTTACCTTACCTCCATTAGCAGGCAGTAGTACCCTTAACTTCACTGGCCACTGATGTACATTCATCCCTGAAGAACAGAAAGCGATTTCCTACCTTCAGATCTTCACTCTTAACTTTCCTTACTCTGATGTGCCTCCTTACTGTGAAAACCACTCGGCCACTCTTGTAGCAGGTGCTGGCTGCACATCACTGCTGGTAGCGTTGCTACCGGTCCCCAAACGACAGCCATCCTCACAGCGAGAGACAACTGCACCTCACTGCTAGAACCTATTTCCCTCATTCCCCACAACTCCAGCCACCTCACACTCTCTCTCTCCAGACCCATTGATGGACCCTTAGCCCTCCTAATCTCCTCCGAGAAGCAAGACCTCCGCCTTCACTCTCCAACACAAAATCAAGTTTAAAACACAGCGAAGCAGCATGCTTTGAACCGGCCACGCTAATCCCCAAAGCAGCTCAGGGTCTGTGACCTCACATGACGACTGACCACTGATACGGCCGGTTTGTTGAAAGAAGAAGATATATATATAGTGCAACCCGAGTTTTCAGCATAATCTATTCCAAGAGCTCGGACGAAGTCAAAACAGCCTAAAGTTCTAAGCAATATCTCCCATAAGAAATAATGTAAAACCAATTAATCTGTTCCACCCAAAAATATTCACAAAAAAATTAATTTTTTTAAAGAATAAATACTTTAGTTTTACATAACAGAAAACAATGAGAAATAAATATAAAGCACTAATTTTAATGGATAAATGAACATTCAAATCAGTTTTACATTTATTGAAGACTCTTGTTGGGGTATGTAATGACATGTCATGACTGGTGGTTGTGTTTGTGCTTGGTTGGTGGGGTGTATAGGGGCCACTGAGAGCATAAGCATAAGCGGCAGCACAGGCGGTGGTGGTTCAGTCGCCCTATATGCCTCAAACAACAATGGAGGAGTTAAGACTCATGCTGCTTTAGTATCATACATATCGTAGAATCACTGAAGAAGGCACATTCTCCCCTCTCTCTTCCTCCTCCACTTTGGTACTTCGCTACAATTTCTTTCTTCGATTCTATCATGTTTCACACTTTCTTTACCAAAGAGCTGCCACTATGAAGTTTCTCTGGGCCAATGGTGGCTTATTTCACAGTCACAATCAATAAACAAGCATTAAACACAATGAATTTACTGTGAAATGTTTGGATGAGCGCTCAGGGTAATGTTCATTCAAGGATAAACAAAGCTAGACTGGCTCATGACGCTTGTGCAGGCAGACATGCAGGCAGGCAAACAGGTCTGGGTATGCCACCAACAACAAGAGCACAGGCCAAAACTCGGTCAAAATTTAGCTGAAAAAGCATCAACTTGCAGCAGCAGCGATACTCAAGGTGGCTGAAACTCGGGGTTCCACTGTACATATACATCCGTCTCTATACTTTCTATATGACCAAACCCCCTCAACAACTCTTCAGCCCTATAAATTATACCCCTTGGTCTCCCCACAATTTTGGAAATCTAATGTCAACAGAAATATATTAAAAATACCTTTCTATATTATCATGAACTCTTGCTGGATAATTACAGCAAAATAAAATGTTGAACATGATCACCTTGATATATAGTATGTATATGGAGGTGGAGGAGGAGGATGAGGATGCAATGGATGCACAACAGGACAGAAGAGCACATGGTTTATTATTCATACAGAATATACCTACCTCATTATATAGAAAACCGTAAGTACACAGAGAATCCAAATCTTGAGAATGAGTGAAACTTACCTCATCATACTGCCAGGGACCATCAACTGTACCCAAGCGACAAAAAATCAGCTTTATGCCCTGGCCATCAGCATCAATACAACGTTCAACCCACACTCAATTGACCCTCCGCAGTTAGCCCGTAATTAGCTCGTCAATGTCAAAATTATAAAAATATTCATAAGACCAGTAAAAGCAATGTACCATCAGAAATCCACTTCAGAACTGACTCAGAGAAGACATTATAGCTTTATTGAAATGCATTAATCTTTTCAAAAACCCATTTAATGTTTAATGAACATGATCAGTTTGGAAAGCAATATTGTGGGTTAAGGAAATTCTAATTTATTTTTTGTTTGTTCAACAAAACAAGTCGGCCCGGCTCCGCACCGAGGCAAGGGTGACCCAAATAAGAAAGGAAAATCCCCAAAAAAGAATATACTTTTCATCATCCATTTCAACACTTTACACCACACTCACACATTATCATTGGCTTTTTTGCAGAGGTGCTCAGAACAACAGTTTTAAAAGCATATACGCATAAAGATACACAACATATCCCTCCAAACTGGCCAATACCCAAACCCCCCTTAAAGTGCAGGCAATTTGTACATCCCAGTTCCAGGACTCAAGTCCGACATATATGAAAATAACCGTTTCCCCTGAATCCCTTCACTAAATATTCACCCTGCTCACACTCCCAACAGATCGTCAGGTCCCAAGTATCATTCGTCTCCATTCAATCCTAATCTATCACCATGCTGGTAGTCCAAGCCCCGCCCTTCCACAAAACCATCCTTTACCCCCTCTATCCAACCCTTCGAGGACGACCCCTACCCCTCCCATTCCCCTATTGATTTTATATGCTTGTCCATGTCATTTCACTTTATCCATTCGCTCTAAATGACCCAAACCACCGCAACACACCCCTCTTCTTTCGGCCTCTGACGAATGGCTTTTTATGAACTCCACCCTTCTCCTAATTTCCACACTCTGAATTTTCCTGCATAATATTTACACCACAACATTGCCTTTAGACAGACATCTCCACTGCCGCCACCGTCTACATCGCTGCTGGCATTTACCACCCAAGCTCCACATCATATAAGGAGTGTTGGTATTCTACTATACTTTCATACATCCCTTCTTTTGCCTCCATAGATAAACGTTTTTTGACCTCCACATATAACCTCAACGCACCACCACCTGTTTTTTCCCTCATCAATTCTATGATTAACCCTCATCCCCCCTTCATAATCCACCGCCGGAAACTCAACTCCCAAATAGCCTGAAAACGTTCACTTCGGCCATACTCCGCCTCCCCAATTTGATATCCAATTCTTTTCGTTATCTAAATCAATTGAAACTCCATCACCTTACTCTTTCTATTCACTTTCAACTTTCTACCTTTACACACATTCTCAAACTCATCCACAAACCTTTGCAATTTTTCTTTAGAATCTCCCATAAGCACAGTATCATCAGCAAAAAGTAACTGTGTCAATTCCCATTTTGAATTTGATTCCCCAAAATTTAATCCCACCCCTCTCCCGAACACCCTAGCATTTACTTCTTTTACAACCCCATCTATAAATATATTAAACAACCATGGTGACATTACACATGAACACATGATCAAGAAAATAATACAAGTTTCCCACAGAGAAATTCCTGTTCATAGCACTTTCTTATTTTTATTTTTTGGCACTAATCACAAAGACCTTATACTTTCAGCCTTATTGTCTTATTTGGTAGGTTGAAGATGCTAGCCAGAGCAAGGTAGAATTCTTTGACAAGTGTTTCAAGTACTGTCTCTAAGTTACAAATTTAAGTGTAATTTTAACATTACCCACTTACTTTATAGCCTTTAAATGGTCAAAAACTATGCAAGGAAACATAATATGCAACTTACTTGATTATTGCCAAAACCATGACAATGTGAGACTCCCATGAGACTTGGGGCAGCATGGCCCATAGTATCCAGACACTGGGAGCTGGCAGCATTACGCAGCTGTGAATAGAAGAATGTAATAGTAATAATTAATATTTATTTTATTTTTATTTTATTATTACACTGGCCAATTCCCACCAAGGCAGGGGGGCCCGAAAAAGAAAAACTTTCACCATCATTCACTCCATCACTGTCTTGCCAGAAGGGTGCTTTACACTACAGTTTTTAAACTGCAACATTAACACCCCCTTTCAGAGTACAGCACCTGTTCTTCCCATCACCAGGACTCAAGATTCTTTGCTGTGCGGCTTATAGTTAAAATATGTTTTTATTATCATTAAAAATACGCTATAAAACTACTTCAGGTTATGTATATTAAGCTGCATAGAAATAGACATGAATTTCATGTTAACTTGGCTTCCAATCCCCAAGGCCTATTCACTATATTCCAAAATTTGAAATTTTTTGCAAGAAAATGAATCTGAGACACTTCTGGCCCCAAGCAGTGTTTTGAATAAGGAGTACTTGACCTATCATAGCAATGCTAATTGCATTTTCTGGGAAGAAAAGCTCATGGATAGTGGAGAGGGACAAAAATAAGTTTGGGTGATCAGCAAATTCTGGAATGTGAAACTCATGATACTGAGGAAAAACTGTAAAAATTGATTTCTTGTTTGTTGAGGAAATGTTTGTCAATCATGATCAACAATTAAACACATAAGCATCAGATAAACGCAGCTATAAGGCTAACTACATAAGGCAACAGGCTGACAATCTTGAGCAGTTTTGCCACCAGATTTATCATATTAAAAATGGTATACAAAATGACAAGTTGATGAGCTAAATACACATCTTACCTGTTAAAACATCTACCTGTGTAGCAGGTTTCTTCAGTTGAATAAGGTGATTATAATTCACAGTTTTTAATTACCTGTACTGACTGAAACAAGCCTGTTGTGAAAGCTAAACTTTTCAACAATAAGCACCTCACTGATTCATGCATCTTACTCCACATCAAATTATAAATTTCCACTGACCTTGCTACGCAATAATATAAACCTGTCTTAAACAAGGAAATGCATTACCCAGTTTTTTGGCTTTATATAAAACAAATGATAAATCATTTTACCACTTTTGAGAAAAGGAAAAACTTTGGCATTTCCGTTTAGCTCTATGTTACATACAGTTTGTGTGTTGGGGGGGGGGGGGGGGGGGGGGGGGGGGGGGGGGGGGGGGGGGGGGGGGGGGGGGGGGGGGGGGGGGGGTGGGGGGGGGGTGTGTGTGTTGGCTAAGTCATATTTATTTGCTTAAAATATATTATAACAGTTATTCATAATAAACAGACAAATATTTCTAATAATAAATTTCAATAACAAGATATATTCAAAGGGCTAAATCTATCTGTAATGAATATTCCTGGAAACTAGACTAACTTGTGAGAAATGCTGGAAACAGCAATGAAAAAAACAAAAGAAAAAAAAAATTTCTTTGAGGAATGCTGTATAGCAACGAAGAAACAAAGAAAAAAGTTCTGTGAGAAACAGGAAATAGCAACGAAAACAAAAGAAAAAAGTTCTTGTAAAAATGCTGGAAATAGCAACGAAAAAACAAAAGAAAAAAGTTCTTGTGAGAAATGCTGGAAATAGCAATGAAAAAACAAAAGAAAAAAGTTCTTGTGAGAAATGCTGGAAACAGCAATGAAAAAAAAAAAAATAAAAGTTCTATGAACATTACTGTACAATATTGTTAGTTTGTACACAATAATCAGCTATTCAGACAAATGCAAGAGTAATGAAGAATAAATAATTGTGCAACAATGAACTTTTCCATCTGTTGAATTCTGTATATTTTTCTTTCTTATTATGATCTAAGGCGAATCCCCTTGCTAACATCTTGTTTCCTTTAGTACACCCTTATTTTACCCTGGTCACTTTCCAACTATCTATTTTCCCTATAATCCTCATCCTACAGTATGTTATATGATAAAGATTAAATGTTCAGAATGTGATAAACAACATAAGCTTTCTGGTGTGTTTATACTGTATAATTGGAAAACTGATTCCTATGACCCACACCTGTTTTTTAAGAGATTCTTTCAAGGATTTTAGACAATCGAAGACCTAGTTTCATGAAAATATTAATGAAGTGAATGTAGTAACAAGGAATAAAATAACACCACTAAGTTTATATTAACTGGTGTACTGCGTTCCTTTATAACAAAGGAGTTTGACTCTGAAGTAGAGCTTTTCAGAAGACTGATATTATCATCACTACTTCCAAATAATTGTACAAATGATTTGTATTTTAATCATATATAATTTGTATATGAAGAATACAGTAACACAAATAATTAAAAACTATGTATGAAAGGAACATTTTTTCAATTATCTTGTTTCTAATTGACTTGTTTACACCCTTTTAAAACATACTCCGCCCTCTGCCCAAAAAGGTATCGTAAAATTTGTATGCTTAACTGCTATGCACTTGGCAGAACTATTAAGGCATGTCCATACGACAGCATGGTGTTTGCTGTAACTCTTGCAGCTTACTAATGTAGTCTCCATAGTGATTACTGTCTCACCATTTAGGATTTATCTGATTGAATTTCCATTTCTGTAGGCTTTATCAGCCAGCACATGAAGTAACGTCAGTTGTTGTTCTGGTGGGTGTAACGCTGCACATTTTCCCATAGCGCTGGTGGGAGCATCACGTGATTTTGCCTGAAAATTTGATAATATATTAATATAGTTATAGGTAATATACATTTTTTTTTTTTCAAAAGTCAGCCGTTCCTCACCGAGCATGGTGACCCAAAAAAGAAAGAAAATCCCAAAAAGAAAATACTTTCCATCATCCTTCACACTTTTCACCACACTCACACATTATCACTGCTTTGTGCAGAGGTGCTCAGAATACAACAGTTTAGAAGCATATACGTATAAAGATACACAACATAGCCCTCCAAACTGCCAATAGCCCAAAACCCCTCCTTTAAAGTGCAGGCATGTACTTCCCATTTCCAGGACGCAAGGCCGACTAATGAAAATAACCGGTTTCACCGAATCCCTTCACAAATATTACCCTGCTCACTCTCCAACAGATCGTCAGGTCCCAAGTTCCATTCGTCCCATCACTTCCCTATCGAAACACACTGACGCATGCGTTGCGGGAAGTCCAAGCCCCTGGCCCATAAAACCTCCTACCCCTCTCTCCAACCCTTTCGAGATGACCCCTACCCGCCTTCCTCCCTATAGAATGTATATGCTTTCCAGGTCATTTCAACTTTGATCCGATCTCTCTATTGACCAAACCACCAGTCAACAACCCCTTCTTCTGCCCTCTGACTAATACTTTATTAACGCCACTCCTTTCCGAATTTCCACACCCGAATTTTCGGGCATAATACGTGTCAACCACATCATTGGCCCTTAAATCAGGACAACCACTGCCTCCAACCGCTCCTCGCTGCTGCATTTACAACCCATGCTGCACAACCCATATAAGAGTGTTGGTACACTATACAGTCATACATTTCCCCTTCTTTGCCTCTAGAACAACGTTTTTTACGCCACATATACCTCAAGCACCACTCACCTGGTTTTCACCTCATCAATTCATGATAACCTCAAGTGGGAACGAATTCTTCCACCGTAAGCCATGCGTGGTGTAAGTGGCGACTAAAATGCCGAGAGCAAGGGGCTAGTAACCCCTTCTCCTGTATATATTACTAAATTTAAAAGGAGAAACTTTCATTTTTCCTCATGGGCCACCCTACCTCAGTGGGATGCGGCTGGTACGTTGAAAGAAGAACAACATACATACATACATATCACATCACGAACTTATCTACTCATTATTCACAGTTATCATTGCCTCACTCATCACCCTTATTGGACAATAACTTGAGTACTAGAATAACATACAGTTCCGACTTAAAAAAATGATACTGTACATGGAAAACAAACTTGAGACAAAACTGCCAAGATAAAGAGAAGTGTGACTCACTAACCTCTCCCCAGTGGATATTAGGAGGAAGCTCTGGATATTTACGAAGCATATCATAAGCCACATTTTTCATAAACCACTCAAAGTTTTTGCACTCCAACCTTTTCTTGAGCTTCACTTGTTCAGTGATGTCACCCATGTCAAGGTATCTAAAAGAAAGAAATATTCTTATCCCCTCAAACAATTATGAGTTTGTAATAATGTTGGTAGAATTACCAACAATATGTAAAGTAAAAGGACACAAGTGCAACTAATGTGACATTTTATTGTGGCAACGTTTCGCTCTCCAGGAGCTTTATCAAGCCGTTACAAACAGTACATGGACACAGAGGGTATATATAAGCTCAGAGTGAGGTGCAATACTAGTGGTAGTAGTAGTAGTGACATAAGTTGTAGTAGTAGTAGTAATACAACAGGGTAGAGCAATTAACTCGTACATGAGTAAAAGAATATAAAAGCTATTACTTGGGTAACATAAAAATAGGTTAGACAAATATAGACTGAATAGAGAAGGCCTGTTTCAGTGTTCACTCTCTGTAATAGCAGTGTACAACACCGAAATTCCTCCAATCATCTCATGAAATTCAGGGACGCCCAATTAGTGATCAAAGAAACTAATTTCTGCAGACGCAAGTGCCTCGAGTCAGCACTAATCACTGTTTTGAATACAATTAAGCAAAACAAAGGCAGCTTCACCATCTCTGAAGCCTTAGCAAGAATCCTCCTGAAAACAGTAAACCCTGCCATCACATAGTCTCTCCTGTTAATACTACACAGAGCACATTACAGAGAGTGAACACTGAAACAGGCCTTCTCTATTCAGTCTATATTTGTCTAACCTATTTTTATGTTACCCAAGTAATAGCTTTTATATCCTCTTAGTCATGTACGAGTTAACTGCTCTACCTATTGTATTACTACTACTACTACAACTTATGTCACTACTACTGCTACTACCACTAGTATTGCACCTCACTCTGAGCCTATATATACCCTCTGTGTCCATGTACTGTTTGTAACGCCTTTACAAAGCTCCTGGAGAGTGAAACGTTGCCACAATAAAATGTCACATTAGTTGCACTTGTGTCCTTTTACTTTACAAATTATGAGTTTAAATATAATTTATGGAAACATTACAATCGATTAAAAATAAATGTCTATTTGTTTATTCTTAAATAATGATACAGTCAGGGCCAGATTAACCCTTTCACTGTCCCTCCTGTAAATCTACACTTAATAACAGCACCCTTCATTAGGCTGTGATTGGGAAAGTTAGGCCTAGACATAAAGGAATGGATTTGTGTAGTCCAGATGCATGGTATAAAGCAATCGTACTCCACACAGTGTGTGTATGATGGGACTAACTAACCTCTCATTTTGTGTTCTGATTTAAAATAGCAGCTCTGATGCATGTTTAATAGTGATTTTTGTGGATTTATTGTTTGTTTCTTGGTATCAACTGACAGAATGGAAGACATACCTGTACTAGTGAAATGGAGATCATTTTGATCAGTTTCAGAATGGAAGTGGCTTGAAATAGGCCTCAAAGTGGAGGAAATATTTGATTTTTGGCAAATTTCCTGAAGAAGTGTAGGTGCCCTGCAATTACAACCCCCCCCCTCCCCATCCTCTTTTATGGGTGTTTACTTGATTAGCTTCAATTATTGGGACACCCTAAACCATGACCAATCATTCATGGTTATATTTTATTAACTAAGAAATAAGACAAAACATTGATTTTTTTTGTGTGATCTATTCAAAATGAAAGGCAAGTGTTATATAGGAGAGGTCTAGGAATGTGTATAGTGAACAGAAGAAATGTTGCTTTAGTGGCTGGAATGCCTTCGGTATTTATTTTCAATTTTGTTCATAAACTGGAATTAATTGTGTGTAAAATTAGCCAAATTTACAAACTACTGGGTGCTGTATAGTGTAGCTATAATAGTTGAATGAGCAGTTTCTTACACTCAACTGATAAAATGGAAGGTATACTAGCAAAATAGCCAGAACTGGCACAGTATGCACAAGAAGTCACAGATGGGCATCCATATGTTGGTGGTCAAGTGTGTATCAGTCCTAAGTCCAAACAAAACTGTGTATATTTGAAGTCCTACAAATAATAAACAATAATAATAATAATAATAATAATAATAATAATTCTCCATGAGGAAGTGGAGAAGAATCCTTTCTCTATCAGCCATGTGTTGTAAAAGATGACTAAAATGCTAGGAGTAAGGGGCTTCCAATCCCTTCTCCTGTACTAATTGCTAGATGTAAAAAGTAGAAAAACTTTCGTTTCTTCTTTTTTGGGCCACCCCGTCTCAGTGGGAGATGACTGGTGTGCTAAAAATAATAAAAATAATAATTAATTTTTTTTTTTAACAAGTTGGCCGTCTACCACCGAGACAAGGCGACCCAAAAAGTAAAAATCCCCAAAAAGAAAATACTATCATCATTCAACACTTTCACCTCACTCATACATAATCACTGTTTTTGCAAAGGAGCCCAGAACATAACAGTTTAGAAGCATATACGTATGTATAAAGACACACAACATATCCCTCCAAACTGTCACTATCCCAAACCCCTCCTTTAAAGTGCAGGTATTGTACTTCCCCATTTCCAGTACTCAAGTCCGGCTATATAAAAATAACCGGTTTTCCTGAATCCCTTCACTAATTATTACCCTGCTCACACTCCAACAGCTCGTCAGGTCCCAAATACCACTCGTCTCCATTCACTCCTATCTAACACGCTCATGCATGCTTGCTGGAAGTCCTAGCCCCTCGCCCACAAAACCTTCTTTACCCCCTCCCTCCAACCATTTCAAGGACGAACCCTACCCCACCTTCCTTCCCTTACAGATTTATATGCTCTCCATGTCATTCTACTTTGATCCATTCTCTCTAAATGACCAAACTACCTCAACAGCCCCTCTTCAGCCCTCTGACTAATACTTTTATTAATTCCACACCTCCTAATTTCCACACTCCGAATTCTCTGCATAATATTTACACAACACATTGAGACAAGACATCTCCACCGCCTCCAACCTCCTCGCTGCAGCATTTACAACCCAATCTTCACACACATATAAGAGTGTTGGTACCACTATACTTTCATACATTCCCTTCTTTGCCTCCATAGATAATGTTTTTTGTCTCCACATATACCTTAATGTACCACTCACCTTTTTTCCTTCATCAATTCTATGGTTAACCTCATCCTTCATACATCCATCCATTGACATGTCAATTCCCAAATATCTGAATACATTCACTTCTTCCATACTCCTCCTCTCCAATTTGATATCCAAGTTTTCTTTATCTAAATCATTTGATACCCTCATCACATTACTCTTTTCTATGTTCACTTTCAACTTTCTACCTTTACACATACTCCCAAACTCATCCACTACCTTTGCAATTTTTCTTTAGAATCTCCCATAAAACACAGTATCATCAGCAAAAAGTAACTGTGTCAATTCCCATTTTGTACAAGATTCCCCATAATTTAATCCCACTGCTCTCCCCAACACCCTAGCATTTACTTCTTTACAACCCCATCTATAAATATATTAAACAACCATGGTGACATTACACATCCCTGTCTAAGACCCACCTTTACCAGGAAGTAGTCTCCCTCTCTTCTACACACCCTAACCTGAGCCTCACTATCCTCATAAAAACTCTTTACAGCATTTAGTAACTTACTACCTATTCCATATACTTGCAACATCTGCCACATTGCTCCAATATCCACTCTATCAAATGCCTTTTCTAAATCCATAAATGCAATGAAAGCTTCCCTACCTTTATCTAAATACTGTCCACATATATGCTTCAATGTAAACACTTGATCTACACATCCCCTACCCACTCTAAAGCCTCCTTGCTCATCCGCTATCCTGCATTCTGTCTTACCTCTAATTCTTTCAATAATAACCCTACCATACACTTTTCCTGGTATACTCAGTATGTAAACTTATTCCTGGTATAAACCTTAGTAATAGATACCGACAAGTTGGTCTAGAAAGACACGTAAGCAAACACTATGACATATTTATTAGAAGTGATCAAGGTTCCAGGACCGAAACGTTTTCTAATATGTCATAGTGTTTGCTTACGTGTCTTTTTAAACCAAATTTATTCCTCTATAATTTTTACAATCTCTTTTGTCCCCCTTCCCTTGATATAAAGGAATTATACATGCTCTCTGCAAATCCCTAGGTACCTTCCCCTCTTTCATACATTTATTAAACAAAAGTACCAACCACTCCAACACTGTATCCCCCCCCCCCCCCAATTTTAACATTTCTGTCATGATCCCATCAGTTCCAACTGCTTTACCCCCTTTCATTCTATGTAATGCCTCATGCACCTCCCCCACACTCACATCCTGCTCTTCTTCACTCCTAAAACTTGGTATACCTCCCTGGCCAGTGCATGAAATTATCGCCTCCCTTTCCTCGTTGGCATTCAAAAGTTCCTCAAAATATTCCCGCCATCTACCCAATACCTCCATCTCCCCACCTACTAATCCCCTACTCTGTTTTTAACTGACAAATCCATTCATTCCCTAGGCTTTCTTAACTTGTTTATCTCGCTCCAAAATTTTTTCTTATTTTCATCTAAACTTCTTGACAGTGCCTCTCCCACTCTATCATCTGCTCTCCTTTTACACTCTCTCACCACTCTCTTCACCTTTCTTTTACTCTCCATGTACTCTGCTCTTCTTATAACACTTCTGCTTTGTAAATATTGTGAATATTGATATAAAAATTTTAAATCATTGATACATTGCTTATTGTTGTGTATGTTCATGTTCTACAATACAATGTCCTACTGCATGTGGTCCCATCTCTGTCCACACTTCACTTCTCATGTGAGTGATATCTCAATACAAACTGAACTGCTATGCTTTTCATTATTATATTTAGGGTAAAGCACTAAATCCATAGGGGTCAAACAGCACTTACAGAATGGAAGGCACTCAGGTTTGATCCAAAGGATAGATCCAATCCCTTGGATCAAGAGCCCCTCACCAGCACCAAGAATTAATAGTTAGATACTTGGCCATTTACTGTATTATTTCTTAAAATACAAGCAAAGTATCCAAAGCCAGGAAAACATAGCTGTTTCTTGTATTATTGTACAAACATTTTCTGTCATACACTTTTACAGTACATTGTAAATTTATCAACATGCCCTTCTATGTTAAAGTAACATTACTGACCTTGCCAGAGGTTCACGTGTATAAAAATACTCTTTATATTTGTCATCAAACCAAGTCTCAATGACTCTCTTATAGTTGATAGTAATAAGTGGACCTTTCTTCTTTTCTGCCAGCTTTCCAAAGTTATATGGCATAAAACCTCGATAAACGTGTCCAACTCGGGAGCAAGGCACCCACTCAATGCTACCTCCACACTGCCATATCTGTTAAAAGAAAACTACCCTGTTTTATTCTATTCCATTTTGTTAAAACCTCAGTTGGAAAAAAAAATCAGCATTTTATGCCTTTGTGTACATATGTGGTAGATGATTACTCCTTATTATCTCTTATATCTTTCCAAGATGTAAGAGATAATAAGGAGTAATCATCCATACTCCTTATTATCTCTTATATCTTGGAAAGAACATCTTTGGACAACATACCTGTAACCAGTTTCAAGAATTATTCTACTTTTGAAGCCCAACCTGAGGCCAGGCTTCATTGTTAATTGCCTAGTCAACCAGGCTGTTGCTGTTAGCAGCTCACAGGCCTATATATCCATCACAACCTGGCTGATTTGGCTAGCAGAAATCACATTCTGGAAGTGGAAAATACAGCACCTACACTCTAAAGGATTGGTGGGGATTTTGCAGTTGCAGGATCATTTGAATTATGATGTCCACACATGTCAGGCAAAATAGCTATTGAATAAACTACAGAGACTGTGTGTGTGTGTCCTTCTTTGGGTCATGCTACCTTTGTGGAAAAAACCAATATGTAGAAAATATGTTTTGTGGAGTTATAAAAATAAATAGTAGTTTATTGCAAGTGATGGCAGCCAATATATCAACCATTGGTAATTGCAAAATGTTGACGTAGAGAATATAAATGTGCATATTAATGTGTAACACACATAACAAAACCTAACAAAACAGTTACGAATTTGGAAAACTAGAATAAAAAAAACAGGCAAAATAAATAATAAACATGACAAATCTAAGCAAATCACTCCATAATGGTACCATATTCCTAATAACTAAAAATTATAATAATGCAGTATGGAGTAATAGCACAAATAAACCCACAAAGCCAATAATTAAGAGTACTAATACATACTGTGGCCGTGCACTGAGGCCACAATAAACTTCACTCGTCTTTTCCTATATCTTATTGTCTTTTGTGTCAACATACTAAATTCATGTCAGTATGGAGTCCAAAGAAGAACACAAATGATCACAAAATACACTGTATAGTCTTTTTAATCAACATCTTTCTTTCAACACACCGGCCGTATCCCACCGAGGCGGGGTGGCCCAAAAGGAAAAACAAAAGTTTCTCCTTTTACATTTAGTAATATATACAAGAGAAGGGGTTACTAGCCCCTTGCTCCTGGCATTTTAGTCGCCTCTTACAACACGCATGGCTTACGGAGGAAGAATTCTGTTCCACTTCCCCATGGAGGTAAGAGGAAATAAACAACATGCCATATGAAAATAAAAATCCACTATGGCTATTGAATGTGTGATGAGAAAAAGGTAGCTTATGAGAGGTTATTACAAAGCAGAAGTGATATAAGAAGGGCAGAGTATATGGAGAGTAAAAGAAAGGTGAAGAAAGTGGTGCAAGAGTGCAAAAGGAGAGCAAATGATGGGGTGGGAGATGCAGTGTCAAGAAATTTTGCTGAAAATAAGAAAAAATTTTGGAGTGAGATTAATAAGTTAAGGAAGCCTAGAGAACGAATGGATTTGTCAGTTAAAAACAAAGTAGGAGAGTTAGTAGATGGGGAGCTGGAGGTGTTAGGTAGATATCAGGAATATTTTGAGGAACTTTTAAATGCTAATGAAGAATGGGAGGCGGTAATTTCATGCACTGGCCAGAGAGGACTACCATCTTTTAGGAGTGAAGAAGAGCAGGATGCGAGTGTGAGGGAGGTGTGTGAGGCATTATGTAGAATGAAAGGGGGTAAAGCAGCTGGAACTGAAGGGATTATGACAGAAATTTTAAAAGCAAGGAGGGGGGGTATATAGTGTTGAAGAGGTTGGTATTTTTGTTTAATAAACATATGAAAGAGGATTGGCAGAGAGCATGTACAGTTCTTTTATATAAAGGGAAGGGGGACAAAAGAGACTGTAAAAATTGTAAGGGAATAAGTTTACTGAGTATACCAGGTAAAGTGTACAGTAGGGTTATTATTGAAAGAATTAGAGATAAGACAGAATGTAGAATTGCGGATGAGCAAGGAGGTTTTAGAGTTGGTAGGGGATGTGTAGATCAAGTGTTTACATTGAAGCATATATGTGAGCAGTATTTAGATAAAGGTAGGGAAGTTTTTATTGCATTTATGGATTAAGAAAAGGCATATGACAGAGTGGATATGGAAGCAATGTGGCAGATGTTGCAAGTATATGGAATAGGTGGTAAGTTACTAAATGCTGTAAAGAGTTTTTATGAGGATAGTGAGGCTCAGGTTAGGGTGTGTAGGAGAGAGGGAGATTATTTCCTGGTAAAAGTAGGTCTCAGACAGGGATGTCTAATGTCACCATGGTTAATATATTTATAGATGGGGTTGTAAAAGAAGTAAATGCTAGGGTGTTCAGGAGAGGGGTGGGATTAAATTATGGGGAATTAAATACAAAATGGGAAGTGACACAGTTACTTTTTGCTGATGATACTGTGCTTATGGGAGATTCTAAAGAAAAATTGCAAAAGTTAGTGGACGAATTTGGGAGTGTGTGTAAAAGCAGAAAGTTGAAAGTGAACATAGAAAAGAGTAAGGTGATGAGAGTATCAAATGATTTAGATAAAGAAAAATTGGATATCAAATTGGGGAGGAGGAGTATGGAAGAAGTGAATGTTTTCAGATATTTGGGAGTTGACGTGTCAGCGGATGGATTTATGAAGGATGAGGTTAATCATAGAATTGATGAGGGAAAAAAGGTGAGTGGTGCATTGAGGTATATGTGGAGGCAAAAAATGTTATCTATGGAGGCAAAGAAGGGAATGTATGAAAGTATAGTAGTACCAACACTCTTATATGGGTGTGAAGCTTGGGTTGTAAATGCTGAAACGAGGAGGCGGTTGGAGGCAGTGGAGATGTCCTGTCTAAAGGGCAATGTGTGGTGTAAATATTATGCAGAAAATTCGGAGTGTGGAAATTAGGAGAAGGTGTGGAGTTAATAAAAGTATTAGTCAGAGGGCTGAAGAGGGTTTGTTGAGGTGGTTTGGTCATTTTGAGAGAATGGATCAAAGTAGAATGACATGGAGAGCGTATAAATCTGTAGGAGAAGGAAGGCGGGGTAGGGGTCGTCCTCCAAAAGGTTGGAGGGAGGGGGTAAAGGAGGTTTTGTGGGCGAGGGGCTTGGACTTCCAGCAAGCATGCGCGAGCGTGTTAGATAAGAGTGAATGGAGACAAATGGTATTTGGGACCTGACGAGCTGTTGGAGTGTGAGCAGGGTAATATTTAGTGAAGGGATTCAGGGAAACCGGTTATTTTTATATAGCCGGACTTGAGTCCTGGAAATGGAAAGTACAATGCCTGCACTCTAAAGGAAGGGTTCGGGATATTGGCAGTTTGGAGGGATATGTTATGCATCTTTATAGGTATATGCTTCTAAACTGTTGTGTTCTGAGCACCTCTGCAAAAAACAGTGATTATGTGTGAGTGTGGTGAAAGTGTTGAATGATGATGAAAGTATTTTCTTTTTGGGGATTTTTTTCTTTTTTGGGTCACCCTGCCTCGGTGGGAGACGGCCGACTTGTTAGAAAAAAAAAATTGCTGAATTTAAAAGAAGCTTTTATTTTTCCTTATGAGCCACCCTGCTTTGGTGAGATATGGCTGGTTCGTTGAAAGAAAGATGTGTAATGTTCCACAGTATTGTGCCTTTTTGTTCTTTTAAACACTCTTTTGTTCCATTAGCTAAAAGACATTTTTAAAAGCAAATCTGACAACTTGACTGTCTTCATCAGGAAAACCTTAATAATTCCTTTACTGAGCTTCTCTTATATTTTACAGTATAATTTATAGAAAGCATTACCTTAAAAGATAATTCAAAATTTTCTCCTCCCCAAACCAAAAGCCCCGGGTCATAGGCGCCAAGACTCAAGAAGTATTCTCGGTTGATAGCAAATAAGCCTCCAGCATGAGTTGGAGATCTGAAATTGAGGAATATTTTTTAGGGATATTTGAGTGCAAAACTTTGTGTATACTTTATGTATGTGTATAATTATTTATAAATAATGTGAACATATACATTACATATACAGTATTCCAAACCTGTACATATATTGCATTTTTTTTTTTTAAATTCTGATCAAAAGCTTTTTCTTACTTGTATGGTTCACTTTTATGTATACGGTTGCGTTCCATTTCCATCGGTAGTTCTGTCTCCTTGTATAACATTCCCCATTCAAAAATTCCTCGAAAATTACTGCCAGCGCCATACACAGGCCGATACTCAAATGTGTTATGATCTATGCCATCAATGACTGGTACTGTCATAGTATGCCTGAAGGAAAAAATTAGCACTGCTATATTTTTTTAAACCAAATGCAAAAAACATTCTTAACATACTGTATAGTTTTTTATAGTAATGATTATAAGCTCAGTGATACTAATTCATGTTGTTAGATTATTACCAGCCGTATGACCTCAGTCAGAAGTCAACGATAAAGAAAAAGGGCAATTCAGTTATACTTAAACAAAAAAAAAATACATAATCGTCATGAACTGAAATGCACTCTTTGGTTAGTTTTGGGTTATTTGCTACTACAATCTACAACACTTCACAACATGCTACTACACTCCAAAACAAAGTATGAATGATGCAATTATACAAATGTTCGAATTACTATATGCAGCACTGGAAAAAATGAATACCCTCTGTGGATCTTCATAGACCTGCAGAAAGCATTCAATACAGTGGACGACAATCTCTTGCCCCTTTAACTAGAACATTACAGGGTCCGAGGACATATCCTTGAATACCTAAAATCTTATCTTAGCAATAGACACCAGTATGTCTCCACAAATGGTGTGACCTTGGCTACTCAGCCTGTAGTCATTGGGGTGTCACAGGGCAGTGTCCTTGGCCCTCTGCTCTTTCTCATTTACATCAAGGACCTCCCCAACGCATTTTGTCTCCTTAAATCAGTTCTATTAGCAGATGACACAAGTTATGTCTTCTTCCACCCTAACCTGACTATACTTAGTGATACAGTCAACAACGAACTACAGTGGACCCCCGCATAGCGACTTTAATCCGTGCAAGAGGGCTCATTGTTATGCTGAAATGATCGGTATGCGAATCAATTTTCCCCATAAGAAATAATGGAAATCAAATTAATCCGTGCAAGACACCCAAAAGTATGAAAAAAAAATTTTTACCACATGAAATATACATTTTCCTACACACAAAGAGGATACATGCACAATAGTAGAGTAGTACATGCACAATATATATTGTGCATGTACTACTCTACTAAATGAAGAATAAATGACACTTACCTTTATTGAAGATGCAGCAATGACTGATGAGACACTGTGTCCTGGGAGTGCCTTTTCCTCCTGAGTACTGTAGGTCCTGTTTGGCATTTTCTTCCAGAACAGGCCTTATCACACTGTGTATGCCACTACGATTCTTAAATCTCTCAAACCAACCTTTGCTGGCTTTAAATTCACCAATATGAGCACTAGTTCCAGGCATTTTTCCCTGTTCACCTGGGTGTTAGTCGACTGGTGTGGGTTGCATCCTGGGAGACAAGATTAAGGACCCCAATGGAAATAAATTAGACAGTCTTCGATGACACTGACTTTTCTGGGTTATCCTGGGTGGCAAATCCTCTGGGGTTAATTGTTTCTTGGTATTCTCAATAAGCCACACCAACAACGGTGCTACAGCAGCAGCAGCAGCAGCAGCAGCAGCAGCAGCAGCAGCAGCAGCAGCAGCAGCTGACAGTGCTACAGCAGCAGCAGCAGCTGACAGTGCTACAGCAGCAGCAGACGATGCTACAGCAGCAGCAGACGGTACTACAGCAGCAGCTGACGGTGGTACAGCAGCAGCAGCAGCTGACAGTGCAGCAGCAGCAGCAGCAGCTGACAGTGCTACAGCAGCAGCAGCAGCTGACAGTGCTACAGCAGCAGCAGACGATGCTACAGCAGCAGCAGACGGTACTACAGCAGCAGCTGACAGTGGTACAGCAGCAGCAGCAGCTGACAGTGCAGCAGCAGCAGCAGCTGACGGTGGTACAGCAGCAGCAGCAGCTGTACCACCAATAGTAGCGATGGTTGATTGGGGTTTATTATACAACCTGGCCAGCTCGGAGACACGCACTCCACTTTCATACTTATCAATGATCTTTTTCTTCATCTCTATAGTAATTCTCACCCTTATTGCTGTAGGGTTGGCACTAGAAGCTTTCTTGGGGCCCATGGTCACTTATTTTGCAGATAAAATCACCAAAAACACTGAAATAATACGAAATGTTCCGATTGTATGCTTGGATGTTACCGCGGAGGCTGGCTGGTAAACAATGCCACCTGCGGCACATGTGAGGCTGGCTAAGGGCGCACATTGGACGCGTCTCGGACGAAGAGCGGTGAGCGGATTTTTGAGCGGTATGCGAGGCAAAATTTTTGCGATAAAAGTGAGCGGTATGCGGATTGAACGTTATGTGATGCGTACGGTATGCGGGGGTCCACTGTACTAAAAATATCTATGTGGATGACGACCAACAAACTCACTTTCAATAGACAAAACCTACTTCATGCTGTTTGGAAACAGAGTTTTAAATACCCAACTTAACATATTAACCCTTTGACTGTCGCGGTCGTATATGTACTTCATAGGAGATACTGTGTTTGACGTATCTATACGCATAAATTCTAGCGGCTTCAAATCAAGCAGGAGAAAGCTGGTAGGCCCACATGTGAGAGAATGGGTCTCCATGGTCAGTGTGCACCATATAAAAAAAATCGGGGAGCCAGTGGTGCATTGTGGGAATACCATTTCAGTCGTCCTTTTTCAGCATGTCTAGCGGTAAGAAATATGTGACTTCCCTTCAAATCTGGGACTCTTCTCTTCCCAAGTGATGCTCTAACACGATGGAAGTGTCAATGAAGATCAATTTCATGATTTCGAGGAGTTTGAGACCAAAAGCAATGGAGGAGGAGGAGGAGGAGGAAGAGGAGGAGGAGGAAGAGGAGGAAGAGGAGGAGGAAGAAGAGGAGGAGGAAGAAGAGGAGGAGGAAGAAGAGGAGGAGGAAGAAGAGGAGGAGGAAGAAGAGGAGGAGGAAGAAGAGGAGGAGGAAGGAAGGAGGAAGAGGAAGGAAGGAGGAAGAGGAAGGAAGGAGGGAGGAAGGAGGGAGGAGGAGGAAGGAGGGAGGAGGAAGAAGGAGGGAGGAGGAAGAAGGAGGGAGGAGGAAGAAGGAGGGAGGAGGAGGAAGGAGGGAGGGAGGAAGAAGGAGGGAGGAGGAGGAAGGAGGGAGGGAGGAGGAGGGAGGGAGGAGGAGGAAGGTGGAAGGAGGAGGAGGAAGAAGAAGAAGAAGAAGAAGAAGAAGAAGAAGAAGAAGAAGAAGAAAGAAGAAGAAGAAGAAGAAGAAGAAGAAGAAGAAGAAGAAGAAGAAGAAGAAGAAGAAGAAGAAGAAGAAGAAGAAGAAGAAGAAGAAGAAGAAGAAGAAGAAGAAGAAGAAGAAGAAGAAGAAGAAGAAGAAGAAGAAGAATAAGAATAATACCTAATAATAATAATATGTAATAATATGTTCCCTTGAGGCATGAAAACAGTTCACCCCATGACAGTGACAAGATAAGGGGAGATAACATCTGATAAGAGCTGACCTTTGATGAGCGTAAACGAGGGTGGAGGGAGGGGGGCAGCTGTCCATCTGTCAAGAGCCAGGAGGAGGAGGAGGAGGAGGAGGAGGAGGAGGAGGAGGAGAGAGGAGGAGGAGGAGGAGGGAAGAGGAGGAGGAAGAGGAGGAGGAAGGAGGAGGAAGAGGAGGAGGAAGGAGGAGGAGAGAGGAGAGAGGAGGAAGAGGAGGAGGAAGAGGAGGAGGAGAGGAGGGAGGAGGAGGGAGGAAGAGGAGGAGGAGGAGGAGGAAGAGGAGGAGGAGGAGGAGGAAGAGGAGGAGGAGGAGGAAGAGGAGGAGGAAGAGGAGGAGGAGGAGGAGGAGGAGGAAGAAGAGGAGGAGGAAGAGGAGGAGGAAGAGGAGGAAGAAGAGGAGGAAGAAGAGGAAGAAGAAGAAGAACAAACATTTGTCTGTCTGTCTATTTGTCTGTCTGCCAAACTCCCTGTCTATCCGTCTAGCTCTGTCTCAGAGAGAGCCACAAGACTGTGTCATCATCACCTTTACTCACATCTTCAAGCAGAGTATAGCACTTTGTCTGGATTTTTTGGGTTATCCTAGATAATTTACACTATGTATAGTTGTATTTATGTGTACCTGTGAGACAGAGATAGACAGAGAGAGAGAAAGAGAGACAGATTGAAAGAGATAGAATGAGGGAGAAAGATAATTAGATAGAATGGAGGGGGAAGCAGCATCCGACCCCATTGTTTTGACAGGCGGTAGGGGCAGTGACTAATGAGACAATATGTCATTTTGACAGCTGCCCACTCCTGACTCAAAACAATTATAAGCCACACACTCGCACACAAGACAAGCTTGCTGAAGGGTGATAATAGCAGTTTTATGAAAGTATCTAGTGACTATATATGTGTATATATATTATAGAAACCAGAAGCAAGAAGGGAAGGCAGGAATGAAGGAAGGACTAGATGAAAGGAAGGAAAAAAGTAATGAAGGACAGATGAAGGAATGTAGGAAGAGAGGTGGAATGCCCTCCAGGTAGCCTCCAGGAAGGAAAGGAATGAAGGAAATTAGGAAGGAAGGATGACACACGACCATTTACCTAGGATAGCTACATAACACAACTGCCTGCTAATACTTTGAAGAAAACTGCTCAGACGAGGTGTTTTGTCTTTGCACATAAGATAAGATAAGATTTCGTTCGGATTTTTAACCCCGGAGGGTTAGCCACCCAGGATAACCCAAGAAAGTCAGTGCGTCATCGAGGACCGTCTAACTTATTTCCATTGGGGTCCTTAATCTTGTCCCCCAGGATGCGACCCACACCAGTCGACTAACACCCAGGTACCTATTTGCTGCTAGGTGAACAGGACAACAGGTGTAAGGAAACGTGTCGAAATGTTTCCACCCGCCGGGAATCGAACATTTCAACAAAAATGCACACACACTGATTTTATGTGTGAGAGTGTAAAACACCATTGTGTATGACACCATGTTTTATGTGTGAGAGTGTAAAATACCACTGTGTATGACACCATGTTTTATGTGTGAGGAGTGTAAAACACCATTGTGTATGACACCATGTTTTATGTGTGAGAGTGTAAAACACCACTGTGTATGACACCATGTTTTATGTGTAAGAGTGTAAAACACCACTGTGTATGACACCATGTTTCACAGAGTTCCACAAGCTACAGAACT